GAACACCACAGAGAAAAACAATCAAAGAAATTGTGGGGGGAAAATAAAGCAATTGTTTCACTTTAAGGTAAAAGGACTAAATATACCTATAATATACAGCTATTTGTACATCCAAAGTATGAATATGTATCTATCCTGCCTTTATAATTTTTACAAACAACTCAAGTTGACGAACATATCCAACAAATCCCCACAACAATCCTATGTAAGTTGGGTTGAAAAAGTGTGATTTGCCCAAGATCACCCAGCTGGCTTCATGTCTAAGGAGGGATTACAACTCACAATCTCCCAGTTTCAAGCCTAGTGCCTTAACCACTAGACCAAATTGGCTAATGTATGGAGAAAGAGAGTAAGTTAAACTATCTAATAGGGGTAGGGAATCTTGGCTCTTTTATGACTTGTGAACTTCAACTTCCAGAATTCCTGAGTCAGCATGGCTGGTTCAGGAATTCCGAGTATTGAAGTCCACAAGTCATAAAAGAGCCAAGGTTCCCTACCCCTGAACTATACCAAACAGAATCAGAAACCACTGGAACTCCTTGTTCAGGAGGAGCTGGGATCTTTAGAATGGCATTCTGTCCTGATCTGTTCTGCTCCAATCAATGAGATTTCGTATGAGAATCACCCCTCTGCCCTACTCCCCCAACCAAACCCCAAACCTTAGGAAGAATTTCCATCAAGATTTAAGTGCAGGTATTTACTCCTCACAAATACAAGTTTAAAGTTAATTCACTTGAGTTTATAATTCAGGAAGACTTACAACAACTTCATTGTTATACAGATGAGTATTACAGTTATGTTGTTGCACCTTTTGAAGATCTTCTAGTCGCAGAAATCTATGTTAGGCATAGATATATGATGTTAGAATAGCATTTAGATGCCTGCACTCTAAAAGCTGAGTAGGATAGAACCAGGAGAAAAAACTGAATTTAAGTTCAGCTGAAATTACAGCTAATTTGTTTGTTTTTTTAAATAAGTTTTTTATTCATTTTTTTCCATACGGATAATAATTTTTCAACTAACGTGCTGTCTGAGTTTACATATGCTAATACATATTTGATTCCTAATCCTTTATTCTTTCCTCTAGCCAACAGTAAAATAAGTTCCAGGTTTGATAATAGTCCGTTTCTTCCTTTTCTTTCAGTCTCATAGTCAATCTATCCATCTCTGCGCATTCTAATATTTTTTTAATTATTTCTTCATCTGATGGTATTCGTTCATTTTTCCAGTACTGCGCAAATGTAATTCTTGCCGCTGTTGTGACGTGCAAAGTCAAATATAAGCTTTGTTTATTTATCTTTTCTGGCATTATACCTAATAAAAAAAGTTCAGGTTTAAAATCAACATGTTCTCCTAACATCTTTTCTAACCAAGTATATATCTTTTTCCAATAGTTCTTTGCTTTATCACATATCCACCAAACATGATAATATGTGCCTGACTTATGTTTACATTTCCAACATCTATCTGACATATTTTTAAACATTTTCGGTAATCTTGCTGGTGGCAAGTGCCATCTATAAAACATTTTATATAAATTTTATTTATAAGAAGCTGACATTGTCAGTTTATAATTTCTTTCCCATAAGTTTTGCCATCTTTCTAGTTATATATTGTATCCAAAAATTTTCACCCATGTTATCATTGTTTCTTTAACTTGTTCGCCTTCCATTTCCAAAGTTAATAAAAAATTATATATTTTCTTAATTTTTCATCCGAAGTTAAGGAAGTCTTATCAAACACAGTTTGTTCCTTATAAAACCCATACATTTTAACATCTTTATCATATCTAGTTTGTATTTGTAAATGTGTCCACCATATGTTGATGCCCTGATTTTCCATTTCTTGTTTAGATTTTAAGTGTCCTTCAGAGTTTAGAATATCTCTATATGTCCAGATTTTTTCAAAGTCCACTAAATTTGGGTGTACAAATGCTTCCATTGTTGACAACCACCCTGGAATTTTCCAATATATTTTGCTTTTTATTTTTTCCCATGTTGTTAACAATGCATTTCTTATATAATGATTTTGGAAATATTTATGAACTTTATTTTTCCCATATCATAAAAAGTTGTGTTCCCCCAATTGTAAATCATGCCCCTCCAGATACAACAACTTTTTATTTTTAAGAATTATCCATTCTTTTACCCATGTTAATACGATGCTTGATAGTATAGAATCCACTCTAGTAGGCCAAATCCCCCATTTCCTTTAGCATCTTGTAACATTTTTATCTTAATTCTAGCTTTCTTTCCTTGCCAAATGAATTTCAAAATTAATGAATTCAAATCTTCAAAAAAAAAATCTTCAATTTTATAGGTATTGTTTGAAATAAAAATAAAATGTTCGGTAGTAAATTCATTTTCACTGTAGTAATTCTTCCTAGTATTGACAATTGCAAATTTTTCCATTTTTCCAAGTCCAATTTTATTTGATTTAATAATTTTATATAATTATCTTCTTTTATTGTTGAACATCTTGCTGTCAACTGTATTTCCAAATATTTAACCTTTTTAACTATCTGTAAATCTGTTTTTTCCAATATTTGTTTTTTTTGTTTATCTGTAAGATTTTTAACTATTACTTTAGTTTTTTCTTTGTTTATTTTCAGTCCTGCCATTTCTCCATACTGTTCTATCTTCCCCAATAGTTTAGGAATCATCTCCAAGGGTTCTTCTAAAATGAACACCAAATCATCAGCAAATGCTTGAAATTTATATGTTTCGCCTTTTATTTCTAGTCCTTTGAGTTCTATATCTTATCTAATATTTCTGTTTAAGACTTCGAAAGTGAAAATAAATAACAATGGAGATAATGGACATCGTTGCCTCTTTCCTTATCTCAAAGTTCTCAGTATAATCTCCATTCACTATCACTTTCGCTGTTTGTTTATTATATATCGTTTTTATCATATATATAAAATTTTGTCCAAAGTCCATTATTTGTAATTGCTGAATCAGAAATTGTCAGGAAACATTATCAAATGTCTTTTGAGCATCTAGAAATATTAGTGCCATTTGTTTCCCTGGATGTAATTCATAGTATAGTCGCTCGGATCCGAGAAGGTCTTGACTCTGACTGGGTGGCCCCGGGGGAGGAGACAGGAGTAAGTCTTGAGACTGTTATATGGGAGGAGTTTGACTCTGTGGCTCCTGAGGATGTGGACAGGATTCTCGGGAGGCTGAATGCAACCACATGTTTACTGGATCCGTGCCCCTCCTGGCTGGTACTGGCTGCCCGGGAG